TTGCTGTGTATGTATGTGTACACATATATACACACAACAATAAACACGCAATATATATGTGTATATATATATTTAAATTTAACATTGGATGCTTTCAGAACACATCTATTTTCCCATCCCTCAAAAAGGAAAAGTTCAATTTCCTAGTTCTGCATTTCCTTACATAGCGCTCTTCTTCTGCAATAACTGAATCACCACTATTTAGACATGGGTACACGAATCTCATATTTTTATTCTAAATTCACGTCCACTCATTGTATCTAATGCCCTTGAAGCAATCGCAAAGCACTGCTATCACACAAGTCACCAGAAACCAGAGGTAAATACAAATTCTAAAAAGCGAAAGATAAAAAGCCCTGCATCATTAGACGAAGGCGGACTGTTTAATCAATTTAATTTTATCACTAAATTCAGCTCTTCCCCTGAGCTGTCAGAGAGTGAGGGGAGTGGGGTGAGCGGGCTGCGTGGCCGTGGTGCAGGGACCTGTGTCCCCACTGGCCACACGGAGGTTTGCTGGTTCGTCATGGCAGGGGTTGCAGAGCAGCACGGCCTCTCCACCTCCATCCTTGGCACCATCTCCTATTTCATTCACTTTTTATGGAACTTCGTTTCACAACAAGCCTGCTCCTGTCATCCATTTGCCCTACTTGATTCTGTTCCTTTTGCCTGCTTTTTATGTACGTTTCGCAGCGTTCAGCTCCTGGTCGTTTCCCCAACGTCCTGGGGTTCTCAGCTCACTTTTACAGAGCTACACCTTGGACTGGTGTTCCCAAAATTCATCTTCACTTTTCTAAAACTCTGTGTAACTGATCACCTTGCAACAACATCTAAATTTCAAGAGTTAACTTATTTTGCTGCCAAATGCCTCAAAAAGAGAAAAGTCATGTGCCGATACACAAATTCAATTAGATTGACTTCTAAGTGATTTCTTATACAGCATTTCCAATACTTCTCCAAAGTTTCTTCCCTTTCCTGGTTTTAGTGGTGGATCCACCTTCCTTACAACACTCTCCATCCACTTAGGTCATGCTTTCAGTTAAATTGGTATCAGTTCTCAATCCATTTCCAGATATGTTTGCATTAAAGGAGTGATTTTTAAAAGTGTCCAGACACTTCAGTCAGTTTATACACTATGAATACTAATGAATCACATATTAAATATATTTATTATTTACAGGATGCATTTCATGCTAATATATATTTTCTTTTAGGAAAACTACACTCACAAAAGAAAGAACAAAGATATATGAAATGAATATATGAACTATTTAATAATCAAAAATACACCTACAAAATTCCTCAGACTATTAATTACCCTAAAGGAATGCAATGGTTCAGAGATCAATTGATAAAATTTTAAATGTTTTCTCTTTATGTACTACACTGTATTGATCAATATTGCCTCTTGTTCTGCCCACTGGAGCAGATACTAATTTAAAAAACCTTGTATCTTTACTTTTATTATCAGGTTAAAATACATACCTTTTTTAAAAAATAGTTTATTTATTTATTTTTAGACTGAGGGGAAGGGAAGGAGGGAGAGAAACATTGATGTGCGAGAGATACATCAATCTGTTGCCTCTCACACTTTACCTTTTATAACGTCCACGGGTTTAGTTCTTTCTGAACACTGGCAGACTACTCTAACAGGACCACAAAACACAGATTTGGTTATGCATAATTCTACCCAGAACTATAAAATAAAGAGCAGTTCCTAGGTTTCTCTGTGAGAAAAGAGCTCTGTGGGCATTCAGCGAGAGCAGGGAGCAGCTAAGTCTCTATAAACTACCAGTGCCTCCAGCATTTTGTCAATGTCTCTGAATGCAACTAAAGCAGAATAAACCTGCGTGTCTCTCACATGTTACATGGGATTTGAGTGGACATTTCTAAACCACATGTGTAAAAATTAGATGATTTCTTTTGTATTTCCCAGCTTTTTATAGCTGTCTATTTTTTCCCACAAGAGTAAAATTTTGTTATTTTTTATTTCTACTGAAAATATAAATCATTCATAATAATTTCTAAAAGAAAGTTTGAACTAAAAAATATCACACAGAGACGATGCAAAATCTGAACAGCCAGGTCTTGATAAAATAATAGAAGGGAATTAACTGGTAGGTGGGTGAAGGTTCACTCTGGGTGCCTCCTTTAAAGTTTATCTGAGGTAGAAATGCAGGTTCTGGCTAGTAAGATTTATATGTATACATATTTTCTGATCTTTAAAGATGATACTGCTTCCTATGTAGTATGGTGACTAAAAAACACCTAAGACAGGAAAATATTTCATTTTTGAGGCTATGGATCATATTTATTAATAAAAGTATTATATTGATTCCATACTTAAGCTGTAGCTACAGAGTTTTTATTTCAGAGCCCATAACTGTTTTGACAATAAAAAGGTAATTAAAATACCAAAGCCACTTTTAGAGGATGCATGTAGAAAGATGACAGCATTTCCTAGCACTGGGAAACTAAAAGTTATAATGCTCTTTCCAAAATTAGTCTTGTCCATTAGAATAGGTGGTAAAATAAATGTCATTAGCAAAAAAGTTTAACATTCATCTTAACTTATTTACTTATAAAAAGAGGCCTTACTTTGTGCTCACTGTCAGTAGCTTTTGTTAGTACTTAATACAGTTTACTAAAATTCCATGAACACACACCTGGATTTTAAATGATGATGAATATAGAGTTATAATATTTGATGAGCTTAAAGGCTGAGGCTAGTCTACTCAATTACTGATGTTAAGATTCATGAATATTAGAACATAATTTAAATTCACCATTGTTCTAGTAGAAGAGAAAAAAAATAACCAAGCAGCTGTAATCACTTGGAATTATACATAAACTGATCCATTCTGAGGAAAATGCAGGTAACATTTAATGTGTCCTATAATTGCTATGTTTTCTTTTACGCCGATCACATACATTTACACTGTTAGTTTTTCCCTAGAAAGTGAATATTTAGTAGTTTGATTTGACTCTCCTCCCTGACAAGCTAGCAATCAGCATATGCCACAGGAAATTTCACCCCCACCCATATTTCTATGCATAATTCTCGTTACCCTTTCTCACTCCCATTTTTTGCTATGAGGATTAAGAGACTTGGTATATTCAAAATAACCAAGGTGTAGCAATCTTGCATATCAAAATTTTATTTGGAACTGTTACAGTTAAGTTTCTAGTAAATAAAATCTTCCCTTGGGTTTCTTGGTTTTCTTTCCCCAAATGAACACTTCCTAAGCTAGCATGAGTAACATTCAAAAATAAAGAAAGTGAATTTGGAGAAAGGCATTAATATCTATCAGTATATATTTTATTTCTATAAATTGTTTTATTGTGAAATATTACTCCATACTCTTCGATTTTAAATATTTAAATAGACTAAACAAAAAATTGGAAAACATGAACACCTTAAGTCCGTAAGTTAATGTCTCCTTTTTCCTCTTAAAAGTTATACTCATTATGGAACTCTGTGATTTTCTCAGTATTGATATCACTTTTTGTTCACGTTATTCTTGGAAAATATTAGCATATCTGTTTCAAAATGAAATTTCAGATGACAAAGTGAATGGCTGACATTTATTTTATCAGCTCAGTCAAACTAGAATTATAAAATCACTACCGTTTGGAAACCAAAGGCTGTGGAATCTTTTAGGAAAGTTGTCTCTGGGCTCCTGCTGTTCTGACCTGTGATCATAATTAACGACTATGCGATATTGGCATTATGTCTTCAAACTGTCTGGCTAATTTCTGTTATTGGAAGAAATCATGAAGAACTTGGGGACTGTTTGAAAGAGGTTAGGAAAAGAGGTGGCACAAACTTATCTTCGGCCACTGAAAAGATGAAAATTCTCAGGAGAGCATTTACTGTCTCAGCCCTACCTAACGATGCATTCTGCCTTAGCAGCAAAACTGGGATGCCTGATAAGTTTTCGTTGTGTCTTTCCAACTTTTAGTTGTGTCTTTTCTTTAGGGCTCTATATTCACTTTCTTAAAAAAATTTCAACACACTTTCAAATGATGCTAAGAACTGAACTTTGTCCTGCAGACTCTCAACAAGGAGCTGTCTGTAACCAGTTCCTATCTGGGAAGGACCAGCAGCAGCAGGAGACTTTTCATCCTTACAAGATGTGCACAGGCTGTGCTGGCATTTGAGAACATCACCTTTCCAGTTGGAGCAATTGCTGTTTTTACATCAGCTTCTCTGTGGCAATCCTGGGCTGGAGATGGAACTACTAACTTCAGGGCAGCTGATCTCCAGGAACATCAGTAACAAGGCACCAACATGACAGTGTGTCAGTGGTAACCTGCCATCAGCGGCTCTTTCTCCTCCTCTGCTTTGCAGTTTCCTCCCCACTAACAAGCTGTGATGCCTGTTTGTCTTTCCTGGATTAATTTCTGCTTATTTCCCCAGGAGGAAGGAGCCTGGGCTCTCAGTGGGTCCTAGTGTTTACAAACAATGGGAACCGCACTCAGTAGAAAGTGTCAGCCAATTTGGAGAGGTAACTGCCAGGGTTGTGCCCATTCCTTGTCTTTCCATCCAAGACAATTTGGATGGAAAAGCTGGCACGAGGTCTTATACCTCGTTTTTAGGGATGCTGGCTTAAGTGAGCGTTTCCTTTGGCACCGTGTGCTAAATTGCCTCTGAGAGGGTCAGAGGCAGGGCTGATGGCCTGGAGTGACCGGGGAGCGAACCATCCTCCAGGAGAAGGAACAGCTCCTTCCTCTGCCCCCTCCTCTTCCTCACCTGCCCCTAGACAACGCTTTCCTGAGCCTGCTGCTCTGTTCACTGTCCCGCGTGGGCTGGAAAAAGCCGCGCCCCCCCACCCCACCACTTACGAAGGGGTCTGAACTCCCAAGCACTGTGCCCTGCACTGACATCCCACTGTATCCCAAAGGGAAGCCGCTGGAAACAGGCAAAGCCCACAGACCGGAGGACCGCGGAAGAGAGAGGAGAGTTAGCAGGAGGCGCTCCGCTCCGACCGCCAGATCCTTACCTTTCCTCTTGGACCTCCTCCGCCGCCGCCTCTTGGACTTGCATCTGAGTTGACTGCTCAGCCCTCCGGACCCTCTGCTGGTCCCCAACACCGATGCCATGGCTGAAACTCGGTAAGTAGAGCAGGACAGGAATCCTTTCTCAACCAGTTTCACCTTTGCTGTTCTTGCCGCTGCCGCCGCCTCTGCTAAATGCTTCTGCTTCTGCAAATTGGGGAGCGGGTTCACTTTTTACGACCGGGCACTCACGCGGTCTCCCTCCCTCCTTGTGTCTGAAATTGTTCTGCCACTTGTTTCCGGGCTGCAAGCCTGCGATCTGAGCCCGAGTGCGAGTGCCAACCTCCAGGAACCGCGAAGGCAAGGTGCGCTGGCAGCCTGGACGCTCAGCTCTCCTCTTCCCACGGCCTCTCCTGGTCTGGGCTCTGCACGCAGGGCTTCTACTTTGGCACCTCTGCTAGTTGTTGGACACCAGCCACTTTGAAGCCAATCACGCAGGGAGCTTGTCTATTTGCTGCTGCAAAGTCTAATTAGATCCAATCACAACTGTCTATTGGCTCTGACATCACCACCACCAGCCCTTTGCATTCCCTGTCAGCTTGCAAACTCAGCTCCCCTTTGGATGGAGGGAGCTGCTCAGGACCCGGTGCAGAAGGAGGCTGCACGGAGGGAGGGACAGGTCGGCAGAGCCAGCGTCTCTGGGAGGAGCCGGGGGCAGCTGGCAGGAGGGATCTGCCCTGGGATCCAGGCTCCAGCTTCAGACAAAACGGACAGCACACTGTGTTTCTGCGCTCTCAGCCACAGGCAGCAACTGTTTCTCCGACCAAACAGTTTACAACTAGTTAATTCATTGCAATGCTCCTGGTGTCAAGGGGGGAAATTTCTCTCTAAGAAATTTGGAGACCTTGCTTCCTCAGAAGGGGACTAAGATTTACAATTCCCCTGAGACAGCCTCTTAGGAGCATTCATTTTTCAGAGTCTGCCTGTTTGTTTGCTCCCCCACTTTACATCCCTTGGCTATTCCCTTTGCAAAGAGAAATATTGCATAGAGGTGTTCGGATCGGAGTCTGGTTTTTAAAGAGAGGGATTTCAGTGTGTTGCTCTGTTTAGGGAACAATGAAATGAAATGAAAAGTGGACAGTGCTCCCATCTGATAGTTTTAGTGCCAAATGTAACATATAGAGGAAAGAAAGTAGTATTTATGAGGTGGTGGATCATAAATTGAAACAGTTTTGAACATTTTATTCAGAGTTATCCTATTTTTCTGGGACTATACTTATGGAACCCTAAAAAGTCTACAGGAAATATACAAAGGAAAAGAACCCAGCCATTATCATTGCATTTTGCATTTAAATCACATAAGCTATTAATTATAATAGTAATGGTTTGGAAAAAATCCACTTTAAAAGTCATTAGCAAGCATTAACACGTTGATATGAAAACTGCACACAAATATTTCTATTATTTACCACTTTATACGCACTCTTTCAAGCTCCTTATGGGCCTGGAAATTTCCAGATTTTCACTATTGTTATTTTTGACATACGAAAGGATAATTCCTCTAGGGAACACTGGAAACAATTAGGATGTTCAGATTGTCGTGTGGTGAGCTGAAAGGTCATGGCTCATTGATGAAAGAGAGAGAGAGAGAGAGAGAGAGAGAGAGAGAGGAGGACATTTGCTTTCAAATTCTAGCTCCACTGCCCTAACTTTAGGCAAGTGATGTAAATGAGGCCTCAGTTTCCTCCTCTGTGAAATGGGGATACTAACAGCACTGCCCCTTTGGTTTATCCATACTTGAAAATTGGTATATGCAGTGAGTCACCCATATGAACCACTCTCTGATTGTTTGTCAATCCATCTGATAAATAATTTGAAAAAAAGAGCATATATTATGGGCAGGCCTCAGAGCAAAGGGGTGTTTCGCTGTCTGGCTCATCTCAGACAGATAGGTACAATCAAATCATGTCTCTTGTCTGTGCTGTGTTCAGTAGTTTCATTCCGCCGACTGCACAGCTTAAAGCTGCTGATAATTCCTACCAAATGTTGGAAAGTGCATGACTCGCCCACTTGCTCTATATAATATAAAAGAATATTTGAAAGAATAAGCTGTATCCAGAAATGCAGCCACAGAACTCAGCCTGCAAAACTTGTAAGCTGCCTACGATGCACCTGCCTACGACGCACTGACCCAGATTTGCTCTGCTGAAAACTGTCTCTGAATTGAGAAATCAGGGGAAGATGTTTTAGGCCACATCACCAACTAACGCAGTTACCTCCAGGCTGTTGGTGTTTATTCACAGCCCTGCTGGCATCCATGCCTTCACACAGGCAAAGGTGCTGCCTGGGAGGCTTGTATATGTTGACCCTCCCTGCAGTGGAGTGTGGCATGGTGGGCAGGGAGTATAGCTTCCACCTTAGATGTTGCTTATGATCTTGGTGGGGTTGGGGCAACAAAGTCAAAATCTGGATTTTAATGCTTGGTTTAGATAAAAAAGTTGGTTAAGATAAAATTTTGGCTAGTCTTTACTTTTCTTCCAATTCATTCAATTTTTTGGTATAATTTATGCAAACAATTTTAGCATATATGTGTGCTATTTTCTGTATTTTACTTATCTTGCATAAAATAATGCATAGTAGATGAGGTGAAAATGATGGTGTGGCAATGTTTGTATTGCACAGGTGGGAAGGCCTTTAAAGAAGAGGCTCACTCATGATTACAAATATTTTAACTCAAGGATGGTGTAAAGTGAGCAATGCTGACAATCTGCCATTCTTCCCATGAGCCTTTTTGCTTTTTGTCTATTTCCTAGACTTCAGTACAGCTTGGCAGCCTAACACTATGACAAGCAGAAGTTGGAAGATTAAGAGCCCAAGTTGGAGATATTTCTGATGTGTATCTATCTTACACCAGTTTGAGCCAATCCCTGCTCTCCCCAGAGAAGAAAGAACTGGGAGTGGTGCTCCTAGGAGGAACTGTGACCCTGAGTTAACTCGTCAGCTGGGAAACTAGATGAGGAGCAGATACCAGGGTTCCAAACTAGAGGGAGGATGTTGGTCCTGAAGTCCAGATTTTGCCCTTGTGCCAAGGAAGGTGTGGCTTTAATACAGACTGGATAGGGTCTCCCCATGTGCTCACACACCGTACCCCAAGATTTTCATCATTGCTTTGATCAGAACTGCGATTGCTTATTATGTGTGGTGGTTTCGTGTTTTGCTTTAATGTCCATCTCTGCATAGACCCTAAGAGCCATGAGGGGAGACCACATGTTTGTGGTTCAAGCACTGATCTGGGTAGAGAAGTGATGCCATGATAGCATTTGCCATTCTCTCAAAATGCAGCACAAAGTTTACGTTTATACAGAATCGTATTTTATTTTCACAAGAAACTCTGTCATAGCAGAAGTGAAAGAAAATTCCTCTGAAAGATGAAGAAGCTGAGGCTCAGAGAATTTAGGAAACTTGCCAAAAGTCACTGAGGTCAGGTGAAGGGTTATACGCAGATCCTTCCTACTGTCCAGCCTGTGATGCGTTGCACTTTGCTCTGCTAGGTTTTATGTTAGAGTCCGAGATTTGGTGATGTTGTGAACTTCTACAAGCCTTGTGTGAGATAGGTGAAATATTAAATGGTGACTCTGAACTTCAGTGAATTTATATGAATGTGTGTATAATTTATAAGTACATAAAATACATACATAATTGATATCTATTTATGTATGTCTTTACATCTGAATCTAGATATTTATACTGAGATGGGTGTGTCTAGATTTATCTAGACATCTACAGATATCTAGAGAAATCTAGATATATATGTATACATATAGGGGTAAGGAGCTGGCTAGCAGCACTAACTGTGGCTTCCACTGTTACTAAATGCAGTTGCAAAGTGTGGTGCACGTATTTATCACCTGAAAGCACTCCACCTTTATCTTCCTTTCTCAGAACAAACCTACAGGGTGGATAGGAAAGACCTTATCACCCTCATTTTCGCCCTGAAGGCTCTCAGGGTTAGAGTGTCTGAACCCACGCTGCGTTACTAGATAAAATCAGAGCCAAGACTTGGTTAGAATGTTCCAATGCATTCCAGGAAGAACATATATCAAAAAAATCTCATAGACTCACATAACCAACCTGACCTTCTATTTCAGCAAAAGAGAAACCCGAGATCTCCATGTAGACACATGATCACAGTGACTGCACTTTCTGACCCAAATGCAAGCCTTCTTTCCCACTCTTGTGTGCTCTCGTATGGACTCCTGACTCAGTGTCGATGGTTAATACCAACTTATAATGACTCTGCTTCATTAATCAGAGTGTCTTTTTTTCCAGTCAGTTAAAAATCTATTTAACTTGGTTTTTAATAGGTTTCCAAAAGCAAACAAGAATACCCACAGAAACTAATGTGGCTTATTTACAATTTGAATTTTAGTTACTATCTGCCCCCCTACCTGATGATTTCCCTTTGTGGGGGGTGGGGAAGAACAGAACAGAGGGTGCCTGAGATATTCATGTTTGCCAACTCATGACATCATCACCTATAGCACCAAATTATTACTCTCTGCAAACAGAGAAATAGCTCAAAAGGGTGTCTTCACGCTTTCATCTTCAGCCATTGTTCTTAAGTATAAATAACTCACATCAAAGGACTTGGGCACAAGCCCTGGAAGTATTGGAAAATCATATATTGAGATAATACATCCTTATTCACGTCCTCATCCCAGGGGATGGAAGTAGCTAGCAAGGATGGAGGAGCTGCATTTGGGTCTGGAGGCAAGGAAAGTTTTGAATGTGAAAATGCTCTCTAGACAAAGCTCTCACTAGGACTATTTTTTCCTTTGTTCCTTTTCTTTCTCCTAGGGATGCCTATGATTTGAGAGAATACCAAAGACAAACATCAATTTCCTGAATGAACACAGCATAGAGAAGATTAAAAAGTTTTTCTTTTCAGAGTCCATGTGATTCTGATATATGCATATTATAATTTTGGTCAAATAATGTTGGCATACAGAGTTTTCTGTGTTGGTCAATATCAGATTTTAATTTGCCAAATTTGACCCTTGACCATGCAGGAGTTTGGGGTGCTGTCCCCCTGGCTGTTGAAAATCCATGTATATCTTTTGACTCCCCCAAATCTTAAGCTGTCCTTCAGTATCTGTGGGGATTGTTTTGGGGACCTACCCATGGATACCAAAATCTGCAGGTGCTCAAGTCTCCTATATAAAATGACATAGAACAATGCATATAGTCAGTCTTCTGCATCTGGGACGAGCCCCCCCCCCCCCCACCATGGATCAAAAACAGCACAGGTATTTATAGAAAAAAAATCCTTGTAGAAGTGTATCCATGCAGTTCAAACACATGTTGTTCAAGGGTCAACTGTACA